CCCGGCGCCCGGAGTGGCCTGGCGCTGCCGGAGGGAAGACCGGCGTGTTGGCGTGACAGCCGCCCGTGCAGACCCCGCTCCCGCACGGCCCGCGCCTCGGCCTCGCGGCCTGCGCTTTCTGCGTCTTCAACCCGAGTTGCCTGCGTCGTGAAGGGGCCGCAGCTTGGCTTTGGGAGCCATGGGCGCCTCTCCCGCTTCTGCTCTGGTCTGCAGCGGAGACCGTGTCTCCCTCCCAGAAGTCGGGGTCAGGGACTTCTCTGGCCAGGGCACTTCGGCGTCTGTAGCCATCAGGGGGTCTTCAGACCACGGTTGCTGAAACTTTGTGGGACTTGGGTATTTCCCAGGCGGGCAGTGCCATGTGGAATGAAGTCTGCAGATGCGGGTGAGATCACTGAGAAGGAGATTGGGGATGGACTGAGAAGTTCATTTCCGAAGGAAGGTTGGCGTCACCCCTGTTCTTTGTCGCCTCCAGAAGCCCAGGTTTCTATCCCGTTAGAGTCTCTGGCCAAGCGCGAGGTACTTGGGAGAGGCGGTGAGCAGAGAAAAGGAAAGATGGGTCCCGGGCCTGCGGTCCCCTCCTCCCACTTGCTGTCAGTGGTCTGCCGACCTCCCTCCGCCCGTAGATGGGATCTTACTGAATTTTTCCTGAAGGATACATCCTCCTTTTTCTCTCTTATGCCAGTGTGTTTTAGAATTACGTTTCTAGACGACGAAAGTTATATATGTGCTTTTAAATACTCAAAGTTGTATTAAAGTGTAAACCCGTCTGCACAAACCCCACTCGTTTTGTGTGTATTTCACCCAGAAGGTCAGAGACAAGAGGCAACAGATGCACCCTTGTTTTCGGAGATGTGCCACCAAAGGCTGGTCTGTCTTCACGTCCTCACTAAACTGGTCTCCTTCCTTCCACAGCTTTCCCTGCTGGGCTGTTACTCTGCTCCTTTCACAGCTCACTTTGCCGGCTTCTGTCAAAACCAGAGGAGCAGGGAGCTGTACTCTGGGTTAGCCCTCACCTTAAATACACACACGTGCCTGGTTGTGCGCTGAGTACCCTCGGATACCTCCAAGCAGATAGCCAGAACTGTTCGGGACAGGAAGGAAACATTACGGTGAAGCATTTTGTCTGGGAGAATCACTGATAGCTCTGCCTACAGTGAGGAATCTGAGACCCCTGGCTCCTGGTTCCTGGTCTCTGCATGGGGTCAGGTTATGTATCTGGCTCTTCATTGCCCCAAAAGATGTCGGTTCTCATAAGAGACCCCTGTTCTGTCTTTCTGTGCCAGGAAGAGAACGCCCAGTCGTCTTGGGCTGGCAGTTGGCTTTCCTCGACCTCAGTACCTCTGGGACATTCCATGCTGCCCCTTATTAGTTGAATTTGTCCGTGCTGACTTCAGAGGTGCATAACCTTCCTGTATTGTCCTCAGAAAGCTTTACCCACCCCCAAGCATCTGTGTCCTAAGGGGATCCTGTCCCTTTCTTCCTTTTTTAAAATCTTTGCCACCTTCCCCTTAATCAAAGACTAACTTCTAGAAATGAGCAGGAATTGCTTCCTACTAGGATGTAAATTACACAGCCACTTAAAGTGTTCATTCTTTCAAGGGTTCTTGCTTCTTAAGAGGTCGGTAAGGATTGGAATTGTCAAAGTTTCAAACATAGACCCAGAGTTATAAAAGTGTATTTGGAGAAGAGGAGTTTCCCACTGTCCTGCAGTCTGCCACTAACCTGCTAACGTTTAGTCGGGGAGCAAGGATTACTCTTCCATATTTTGCTTGTTTGTGTGCAGTTGTTCGAATTCGACTGCCGAGGGAGCGTAGTGTAGGAGAAATAAGTGTATGTGGCCTGCTCCCCTGATTCTAAGGCGTCTCAGATGGGAAAGTTACCAAATTGTGAGACAGTGAACTGAAAATAAGGAATTGCAACAGACCTCTAGGAGGAAGGGACCCTTGAAGTCCTGCAGGTCACAGTCCCACTTCTCCACAGTGTTAGGAAAGATTTAGTCATGAACTGAACATGAACTGCGGTAAGAGCCACCCAGGTGAGCAAAGCTTGTGCAGATTTCGGCTGGGTTGTAGCTTCTGTTGAGGGGTAGTTGGGTACCTTTTCAGAGTGTCCTCTGACTCGGGGTGGGGGGGTGCCTTCTGTTTCTCAAATTCCGGAATTAATGGAGAGATACTGACCCAAAGCTTTTGAACACTTAATAGCAGCGGAAAGTTCAGGGAACTTAGGTTTTGGCTGTAGTGCTTCAGTATTTTGGGTGACAGGGCTGCACAATGGGTGTGATTAGGCCATATGGGGCATAGTAACGGGTGACAGGAAAAGCAGTTAGCCCGTGTGAGTTGCAACAGTACCTTGTGGGCTGGGTCCCAAGGGGGCCCTCCATCCAGAAGAGATCATAGAGAGGCCAGGAGCGAATTGGTTCTCCAGAGCCTGTTAAAAACATTCCCAAATGGAACTAAGCCTCTCTCCAGATGGCATAGAAGGGTAGGAGTTGATGGAGGAGGGAAGCAGGATTGCCTCGGCCTTAATGAATTTAGGGAGCTTAGTCAGCACCTACTAGGTACCAGACATTGTGCTTTGCTCTGGAGAGTCAGGTGATAAAAACAGTCCTACTTCTTGAGAAGTTTGTAATTTAACAGAGCAGACAGACACAAACAACTAACTCATACGGTGAAATTCATGCTCTGATGGAAACACAACCTTAAGGTGGTGGGACCTCACCGGTTAGCCACTGGTGAATTCTGCTCGAGAAGGTGGCATTTGAGCTGGGCCTTAAAAGATGCGTTATAAATTTGCTGGACAGACAGTAGAGAAGGGCATTTGCGTATTTCCTAGATCAGTGAGGGAGTTTGTACCACCATGCTAGTAAGAGATAAGTATGCTTTTTTAAAGAATTTATTTATGCACACAAGAACTGGGGTACAGGCCAGAGGTGCAGGGGGTGAGAGGATTCACCAGAGACAGTGGGGAGCAGACTGGCAGATCTACTGAAACACTGCTGAGGGGAGCAGCGGGCGAGACTGAGAGGTCGGCTGCACCCGGTGGGTCCCTCCCTGGCCGGGGATCGAACTGGTGCTGCAGTGGCTGCTGACAGCTTCATGGTGCTGAGACTTAACCCCTTGTGCCACCGGGGAGGCCCAAGATAAATATGCTTTTCCCTCTTGGAGGAAGGGGTGGGGGAAGTAGAAGAGTTTTCATTTAAGCCAGTGACTCATGGTTGACATTGGGTCGGCAGTGAAAGGACAGCCAAATCTGGGAGCCTCAGTTTGTTTTATAGTTTGGGGTCTGAGCAAAGTTGGAAAGTTAAAGGCATTTACTGGCTTTTGTTCTAGCTTCCCTACTGATCCATCTCACATTTGTCCGAAGGCCCACTGAATACTACAAGAGTTTCCATTTTATCACCTTCCTTTGAATTGTTTCTATTTCAGCTTTCCTGACCGGCTTTAGAGAGGCACAGTCACGAGTGAGTCCTCTGTGAGCATGTGGCGCCGCAGCCCCGTCCCCACGTCCGGCATTCCTGCGTTTGCCTAACGTGTGTGTAGTCCCAAGGGAGGTGCCTGCGGAAATAGCGCGGCAGGCAGCCGTCCTGGCGCATCTCACTCATCCTGGGATACTCCTCGGCTGGGTGCAGGGTGCAGCCTCTCCTGCTTCCTGACAGGGCCAGTGTCCAACAGCAGCCAGGAGCACTGCAGGACGGGCTTTGCTGCTAAGCCACTGTGAGATACCTGGCCGCGTGCTAACACTTGGCAAGTTGGTTCGTTTTGTTTCTCAGTTTCCTCACCTGAAAAATAGCAACGGGATGGATTACCTCTAGACGGGTGCAGGACTGGCTCTTGGGAGTAGATTGGACCCCAGTGCTGTACCTGGAGCCCAGCATCCATTCGTGGGGGAGAGCCCAGACGCTCCCTATAGAGGTGGCTCGGGTACTCCAAGCGACCAAGCAGAGGGACCTAAGAAATGGAGTCTTGTTCTGGCTGGGACTGGCAGGCTGAGAGACCTTGATGGTCACACTGTCCGTGTTAATGCACTTGCCGCCGCCTCTCATGCCCCCCGCCCCCCAGTGGGCTAATGCCAGGGTGAAGCCGCAGTCCTCCCCTTCATGGTCAGTGATAAGCCGTTCTTGGGAAACAGTGATTCCAAGGGATGTTAAGATTTCTGGGTGAAGGGAAGAATAACCTCCCCCCCCCCGCCTCAGTTTCGAAGGGAGTATTCTCCGAGCTTGCCTGGAGAGCTGTGGCTTTCTTGTTTGCCTTCGAATGGCTCCTTTGCCAGCTGACAATGCATAGCAAGAAATCACCAGAATGGAAGAGAAAGAGGTGGAATCTGATGTATTGTTTCACTTCTGTACCTCTGATCTTTGAGAATCTAGCTATTATGTAAAAAACACAACCCTTTAAAAACATGTTGGGATCAAAGATGGGGCTTGGAAATAGGTGCTCAGTGACTGAATGGGGTAGGCAGAGGTACTCTTGAGGTGACACCCTGGGTCTTTGTCTTTTCTTTTTTGGGGGGGTTCTTTTTTTTAAGATTTATTTATTCATACAGAACTGGGGTACAGGCCAGAGGCAGTGAGAGGGTTCACCAGAGACTGACGAAGCACACTGCTGAGGGGAGCAGCGGGCATGTCAGGAGAGGTCTGCCGCACCATGTGGGTCACCTGTGGGGCGGGGATCGAACTTGCACCAAAGCGGCTGTGGCCCGCTTATAGTGCTGTGCTTTAACACGCTGCACCACCAGAGAGGGCCTGGGACTTTGTCTTTTCTAACACAGTAGTTACTAATCTCTGACTGCCTGAGACAACCAAGTGGCAAGACGTTTGCTGACTCTGGCTTTCTTTGCTGCCTGTGGAGGTTAGTGCAAGAACCCTGCGTCTGGAGAGTGTGATGTTTCTTTCTTACCCTTCTCCAACTCCCCCTATTTTCCCAGGCTTACAGTAATTATTTGTTCTTCAGAATTCAGTCCATTCTAACTCCCATGTTTTCACATTGTATAGTAGAATCCTGGAGGCTTAATGTTTTATGGATCACAGGCTGTGGAGCAGATAAAAATGTGAGGGACTAAGTCAAAGAATCTAGGGAATTTGATTAGTTTAGCTGTAGTTTCTTTTTTTCCCCTGCTGTCATATTTTCTGTTTTAAAGAGTAGCATTATGTTATTTTGCTATGAAACAGTGTGATGAAGTACCACATAAGTTTTTTCTTTGAAGATTATTTATGCATACAGAACTGGGGTACAGGCCAGAGGTGCAGGGGTGGCGAGAGGGTTCACAAAGTGGCAGATTGACGAAGTCCACTGCTGAGGGGAGCAGCAGGCAGGTCAGGAGGGGTCTGCCACGCCCTGTGGGTCCCTCCCCAGCTGGGGATTGAACACAGTGCTGAAGCAGCTGTTTCCAGCTTCATAGTGCTGCGCCCCTGTTGTGCCACCAGGGGGGGCCCCACTACATGAGTGTTTTTGAAAATAATTCACCCTAACAAATACTGAAAAACACACTTCTAAAATTACCCAGAATTTTGGAAAATAATTCTAATTCTGCTCTCTATTACTTTCTACCTCCCTCCCTCCCCAAGATCCTTAAAGATAAAACAGGGCCTTTCCTGGTGGTGCAGCAGGTTAAAGCGCAGCACTATGAACCTGGCGGCAGCCACTGCAGCACGAGTTCGATCCCCGACCAAAGGGGGACCCACAGGGTGCAGCAGCCCTCTCCTGACCTGCCCACTGCTCCCCTTTGTATTTCAGTGGATCCTCCTGTTCTGCTCCCCACTCTGTCTCTGGTGAATCTTCTCTCCCTCCCATACCAGTGGCCTGTACCCCAGTTCTGTGTGAATAAATAAAATCTATAAAAAAAAGCAAGCTAAGAAGGGCAAAAGGAGTGAGTGGCCTTAAGACACAGTGAGTCAGATGGAAAAGCAGCGTAAGACGTAGGTGCGCCGGCCCCCAACGCCTTCACGTCCTGCTCTGTTCGTGCCTGCCCATTGTTGTTGCTCTGAACTTCAGTAGCAGGGCGGGAGAGTTGGCGTCAGCCTGGGTCTTAGCTGTAAGAGAGCTCCAGTAAGTGACCACCACCTGTGTGCTGACCAGAGACTTAGTCTTCTTCCCTCCCTACTCATTTTTCAGTGTCAGGTCTTTCCCAAGTAGTGTTTTTAAAATGTATTTTGATCACGATTCATACTAAAAAGCTTTATACCCTAATTCAGTGCATTTACAGACATGAAACATTTTCATAAAATAGTTTTTATGCTTACTGTTTGCAATATACTTGATATTGTTCTCTCTCTCTCTTTTTTTTAAAAAGATTTATTTATTCATAGAGAATTGGGGTAGAGGCCAGAGATGTGGAGGGTGAGAGGATTCACCAGAGACAGAGTGGGGAGCAGGACAGGCAGATGGACGAAGGACACTGCTGAGGGGAGCAGCGGGCGGGTCAGGAGAGGTCTGCCACGCCATGTGGTCATCTCGGGGGCAGGTGGGGATCGAAGTCATGCTGAAGTGGCTTCAGATTCTTAGTGCTGTGCTTTACCCCGCTGTGCCAGGGAGGGCCTGTTCTCTCTTTTTTAAGACTTATTTATGCATTCAAGAACTGGGGCGCCGGCCACAGGTTTAGGGGGTGAAAGGAGTTACCAGAGACAGAGCAGGGAACAGAAGAAGCAGACCTACTGAAATACGCTGCTGAGGGGAGCAGTGGGTGGGTCGGGAGAGGTCTGCGCAGTGTGGGTCACTCTGGCGGGGATGGAACTCATGTGCCGCGCTGTACCTCGTCGCGCCACCAGGGGGAGCCCTTGTTCTCTTTTTTAGTGCGTGGATCGTGACCGATGCGATTTCAAGGTTCTAGTGGCTGTCAGTCCAAATTTTGATGATACTGTTCTAAAGGTGTGAAGATGAAAAGTGCTGTGAGTAGTGGTTAAACAGCTAATTAAGACTGATTCTGGCAGCACTGGTTCCCAGAATTCTGGATTCCATGGATCAGTTCATCTAAATTGGGCGGATTTTTATTTTCTAATTAAGTGTATTTAGAAAGCTCATTGTTAAGACGTTTATTTTAAAGCTTTATTTATTTATTTTTTCTGTTTATTTGTACGCAGAACTGGGGTGTAGGCCAGAGGTGTTGGGTGTTCACCAGAGGCAGAGTGGGAAGCAGAACAGGCAGATCCACTAAAACACCGCTGCGGGGGGCAGCCCGGAGACAGGAGGGGTCTCCTGGGCCCGGTGGGTCACTTCCTAGTCGAACTGCTGCTGCAGTGGCTGCTGCTGTCTTCATAGCGTTAAGACTTAACTCCTGTGCCACCTCGGAGGCCCCTTCCATACCTTTGTACAGAATTTTGTTTTGTTTTATGGAAATAAGATCCAATCATGTATTTATATAAATATGTTTATATTACATATTTTATACATTACATATTTATGTTTATATATTTTTTATATACATATACAAATTCTCAGTGCTATCAGGCTGTTGCCAGCCACTGCACACTGTCTCATGAGTTCAGTCTCCATGAGCTCAACCCCTCAGCAGCGTGTTTCAGGGGACCTGCCTGCTCTGCTCCTCACTGTCTCTGGTGGATCCTCCCACCTTCCTTCCTGCACATCTAGGCTACACCTCAGTTCTATGCATAAACAAATAAAATTAAACCTTAAAATTAATTGATAAATGTAGGGTCTCCCTCGCAGTTAGGGATTGAACGCTCAGCTCTGTCAAGCTGTCGCCAGCCATTGTGACATGAGTTTGGCTTGAGTTTGATCCCCAGCCAGGGAGTGACCCACATGTCATAGCAGACCTCTCCTCTCCCCACTGCTCCCCTCAGCGGTGTTCTTCAGTAGATCCACCTGTTTTGCTCCTGCTTTGTCTCTGATGAATCCTCTCGCTCCATACCTCTGGACTGTACCACCATAAAAAATACATAAAAAATAGGGCCCTCCCTGGTGGCGCAGTGGGTTAAAGCACAGCACTGAGAAGCTAAAGCCGCTTCCGCATGAGTTCGATTCCCCCCTGCCCTGGAGGTGACCACATGGCGTGGCAGACCTCTCCTGACCCGCCCGCTGCTCCCCTCAGCAGTGTACTTCGTCGATCTGCCTGTTCTGCTCCCCACTCTGTGTCTGGTGAATCCTCTCACCCTCCGCATCTCTGGCTTGTACCCCAGTTCTGTATGAATAAATAAATAAATCTTTTAAAAAAAATACATAAAAAATAAATAAAATCTTAAAAAAAAAAGTGTGTTTCAGTCGATCTGCCTTTTCTGTTCCCCACTCTGTCTCTGGTGAATCCTCTCACTCCTGCATCTGGCCTGTACCCCTGCTCTTGTATATATACATAAATAAGTCTTTTTTAAAAGATGAACAAATAAATGGAATAAAGTTAGCTTAATAAAAGTACATGTCAGGGCCCTCCCCGGTGGCGCAGCGGGTTAAAGCACAGCACTAAGAAACTACAGCCACTTCCACATGAGTTCGATCCCCGCCTGCCCCGGAGGCGACCACATGGCGTGGCAGACCTCTCCTGCCCCGCCCGCTGCTCCCCTCAGCAGTGTATTTCGTCGATCTGCCTGTTCTGCTTCCCGCTCTGTCTCTGGTGACTCCTCTCACCCTCCGCATTTCTGGCCTGTACCCCAGTTCTGTACAAATAAATAATAAATCTTTAAAAAAAAAAAAAAGTACATGTCAGTTTTATTTTTGTCATTTTGTTATTGACCATTGAAAACTTAACAAAATAAAATAGCACACGAGTATCTGGATTCTTAGAACTCACTGACCTAGCACATTCGTGAATACTCACTAAGATCAGAATAACTTTTTCCATTCTTCTACCTTAATCCAGTTTACTTTTGGACTTTTGAGTCTCACTTCTCTCGTTATCTTCTGGTTTTCTCTCTATACTTTTGTTTTTTCTCTTTATCCCTTTCATATCATGGTTGCTTTATAGTAATATATTGATAGTTAATATTGAGATATGTTAAAATGATCTTTTCTATGAGTCAGTTCCAATAAATATCAAGACCTATCATATTAACAAACTTAAATACATCTTTCCTTTAATCTTCATTTCTCTAAAAAGTAGATCCTTTTTGCATTTTATGAAAGCAGAAGGTCAGTCTCAGAAATTTTCGTAATGCCACATAATGACATTAATGTCATAATGACAGTGACTAATAATGATTAGTAACTTACTGTTCGTTGAGCACTTTATGTCAGATACTTTCAGTTCTTTGTATATAGTGTCTCACTCAGTCTCCACAACAACTTTACGAAGTGGGTACTCATCAGCTTTTTATCCCATGTTACAAATGAGGAAACTGCAGACATCACACTAGTAAGCGGCAGAACCAGTCACAACTAGTAAGCAGAACTGTAAAAGAAGCCCAGCGAGCTAGTTTCCATGGCCTTTGTTCGTCTGCATTGCCTCCCGTGTGGTTTTCCTGTCTTTATTAACTTTATTGTCCTCTTGTCTTTACTAAGATTATAGAGATTAGTAACCTTGACTTCAGAACAGCTTGCTAACAGTGACAAACTGTTTCCCCACCTAAGCCATAGAGGATGACGTTTGTGGATTCACTGGAATCAGCCCTGGAGAAGGAAGCGATTAATCTGCACAGGCAAAGTACAGCCCAAGCATTGACTAAGTTTTGGAGAGAGGCTTTGCGTGTTCTGATCGTGCTCGCTTTTCTTTGAATCTTACAGTTCCTTCATCAGAGTCAGGATGATGAAATATATTCAGGTTAGAATGATCAGATTCTCACAGTCCCAACTTCTCTCTTCCTTTCTGCCTCCTACTTCATCTCCAGCTTCTTGGGAGGTAGCAGAGGTGACTCAGTTTATTCTCTCGTCAGACATTTGTTGCTTGACCATTTATCCCCGTGCCATCCTCTGGACACTCTGGCGTGGGCTTAGAAGACACAACTTTCTCTGCCTCACACTCAAAGGGTTGTGGCTTTTAGGCCTCTAGTGTGGCGAGTAATCGAACTCCTGGGCCCCAGGAAGACAAATGGAAGCTGAGAGCAGGCCAGAACCTGCTGACTTTTAGACTTGGAGACTTTGAGACTTGGAGAGGTGACAGACACAGGGAAAACGGCTTGATGCTGGATGCGGTTATTGATCGTGTTTTACTACTCACCTTTGACCAGAAATTAGACAGGATAGGTTTTTTTTTTTTTAAAAAAAATTGGGGGGTGGGGTGGGATGGTAGACAGTCCAGAATACCAAGGAGATAATGAGAGTTGAGGTATCTAAAAGTGATCCATTTGGTGTTTGATGACCTGGTTGAGAATTGATGGAAAAGTGAATAATTTTTGCAGTTTTTAGTCTCTTGATTTCAGCTCCCTTGGCAGTGGAGATTATGTGGTAAGGCAGACTGCTTCAGATAGTTTTATTTTATTGGTGCCCAGCTACATGGGGCGCTCTTAGAGGTATGACCTTTAAATAACGGACGGTTATAAAAGCTAAATTCTCATACGGGCATCGGAAAGGGAGAGATCCTATCCTTTTGCTTAAAAAAAAAAGTTACAACTGGACCTCCCTGGTGACACAAGGGGTTCGGTGTCAGCACTGTGAAGCTGTCCGCAGCCTCTGCAGCCCGAGTTCGAGTTCGATCCCCGGCCAGGGAGGGACCCCCAGGGCACAGCAGACCCCTCCTGTCTCCCCCTGCCCCTCTCAGCAGTGAGTTTCAGTGGATCCACCTGTTCTGCTCCCCACTCTGTCTCTGGGGCGTCCTCTCTCACCCCACACCTCTCGCCTGCACCCCAGCTCTTATGTGCATAAATGAATAAAATCTTTTTTTAAGAACAGGTGGTTACAGCTGCACTGGCCCTCTGTTTAATTTTGCCCGCTTTTTTTCTTGCAGGACTGCTGAAGCTTAGACGCCCCCTCCCCCCCTCCCCCCTTTGCCGCTTTGTGGCACCCCCTCCCTGCACCCTTGTCCCACTCTGGTCATCTAACCATGACTAGCAGAAGTGCTGCCAGGCCCAATGGGCAGCCCCAGGCCAGCAAAATATGCCAGTTCAAATTGGTCCTGCTGGGGGAGTCCGCAGTGGGCAAGTCCAGCCTGGTGCTGCGCTTCGTCAAGGGGCAGTTCCACGAGTACCAGGAGAGCACCATCGGAGGTGAGGGCGCCATCGGGGGTGAGGCTGCGGGAGGGGCTTGGCGGGGCGCAAGTCCTCGCCGCGGGGACGGTGGCCGTAGTGCCGAGAGAGGCATCCGTTCATCCTCTCGCCGCTGTTCGTGTGTGTAGTTTGTTTTTCCGTCATTCTATGCCTTTTCCGTCTCGGTTGTCATCCCCGTGGGCGTCCCATCGCCAGATCACCCTGCGCCATCACCACAGTCCAGCGCACCTCCCTCCCCCACCTTTCTGATCCCACTCCCCACTCCGCCCTGTAAAATGTCTCTGCTCTATAACTCTTCGTTATTAACGTTTTCTCCCTGGTCCTTTATATACCTGCTATGAGTTCTGAAACCATCCGGTGTTTTTCCTTTTCTTCCTGGCTTTGTCACTCACCATGGTCCCTTCCAGCTCCCTCCACGTTGCTGCAAAAGGCCTGCGCTGCTTGGTTTTGGTCTTGGTTGCTGAGTAATACTCCGTTATGTCTGTGTACCGCATCTTGTTAATCCAGTCATCCACTTTTGGGCTTTGGGCTGTTTCCACGTCTTTCCAATTGTAAACAAAGCGGCAGTAAACATGGGGTGCAGGTATCTTTCTGAATCGCTGTTTTTGGGTCTCTGGGTAGATACCTGGGCGTGGGATCGCTGGGTCCTGTGGAAGCCCCATGTTCAGCAGTTCGAGGAAACTCCACACAATTTTCCATAGAAAACCACTACTTTTTTAACCTGAGTTTGCCTGCCTTCTCGCTCTCAATCCCGGGGAAGCTGAGCAGTGTCACCGGAGGCGGGATGGGTTGGGACGAGGATTCTCAGGCACAGGTGTACACCGGACTCAACCTGGGTAGCACTTTCCTCCCGGGCCCTACCTAGATCTCCCTAATACTGGAGGCCAGGTCGGGCAGCATTGCTGTGCATGTTTGGCAGAGCGCCCTAGAGGGCTGTGAGGCACACAGGTGGCCAGGTAGGGCCTCTGCGGCCTCCCACACCCCATCAGTGAGTGCTGAGTCAACAAAGAGTCTGATGAGAATTTCCAGCTTCTCCTTCCCCGTATTCTAGTCCCTTGGGGAAGGTGGTATTCTTGCATCAGCAGATGATGATATGAAAAAGTATCATCCAAGTAATTATGATGCTGGTGGGACCTGCGTCAGGCTTTCAGATCTCCTGGTCAGTTGACTGATTTATCTGAAGCTTTTTATTTCCGTTATCTGTTACATTCCTCTTTTTGGTTAAGAGAATGCCAGTGCACTCCACCCCTCATATTTCACGAGGTGTCCTCCTCCCGGGTGCCCTAGCTAGAGATCGTTTTGACAGCGAGGCCTTAGCAGAGACCAGTCTTCCCCTGGCTGAAGGCCCTCTGCATGAGGAGCGCACCCAGCCTTCGGTGGCGGGATGGCTGGGCGGTGAGCTGTCTGAGACGGAGTAGGGGAGGCGGCCGTTTCCACTTCTCCTCCCACTTACAGCTTCCTTCCCTGTGTTCTCTCATCCTTAGCGGCCTTCCTCACCCAGTCTGTCTGTCTAGATGACACAACGGTCAAGTTTGAGATCTGGGACACGGCTGGGCAGGAGCGATACCATAGCTTGGCCCCCATGTACTACAGAGGCGCCCAAGCCGCAATCGTGGTTTATGACATTACTAATCAGGTGAGTGGACTGAAGGGGTTGTCCTGGCTTTTTACTCACAGGAATTAAATAGTAGGGGAGAGAAAGCTGGCTTGAAACAGCAGAGTAAAAGCAGGAGTGTTCCCCAGTGCTGAGATGGCAGCAAGGAACGGCGAGCAGGAGCGGGCGGTCGGTGAAGAGGCCCTTTGGAGACCGGGGTTTGGAAGGGGCAGGCCTCGACTGGCCGCCCTCCCAGGTTACCCATTCTCTGCTCACGTCTTTCTAGGAAACCTTCGCCCGAGCGAAGACATGGGTAAAAGAGCTCCAGCGGCAGGCCAGTCCGAGCATCGTCATTGCCCTGGCGGGGAACAAGGCCGACCTGGCCAGCAAGCGCATGGTGGAGTATGAAGTAAGAAGGCCCGGAGCCCTGGCCAGCATGCCTGTGCTTGGGGGCGCTTTCCGCACCCGCCCTTTCTGAAACGCGCACCCGAAGACATTCATCATCTCATTCCCCAGTTCTGTGCCAAGTTAAACACAGCGCACTGGGACCTTAATGACAGCCAGGACATGTTAGAGGAGTTACAAGAAAATGCCAGAGTGGAGGGGTAGGGGAGTACCCGCTGTGAGGGTACCAGTATGAAAACAGGAAGGAAGGAGCAGTTGAATTTGAGGTAAGGGACCACTCAGGTGTCAGCCCGAAGCTCCCGTCCAGTTTGCTGCGCCCCTGTAACTCAGACGGCTGGCACGTGTACGTTGGGTGACGTGGTCTAGACGCCGGGTTTTCCTCGAGGGAATCAGCTCCAAGCTGCAGGTCCAGCGCCTGCTGACGGCGTGGGCAGGGCGGGGAGGGAGCCTGGCTGTGGCCTGGCCCCGGTGCTCATGGCGTGGACGGGCATCTTGTCCCTCCCTGCGTGCTGAGCGCCAGCACCCACACCTGTTGCAGGAGGCCCAGGCGTATGCCGATGACAACAGCTTATTGTTCATGGAGACCTCGGCCAAGACAGCTATGAACGTCAACGACCTCTTCCTGGCAATAGGTAAGGTCAGAGCGACCGAGCGCTTCTGTCTTTGCCCTCGCTCCAGACAAGCTCACCCGACCCTGGTCTTAGGTCGTCGGGAGCTTCTCCGCTTGTGGAAATACCATCGCTTCCCACTGGGACCTCCATCCTTTGGCTGTAGCTCAACGCCCCCCCATCTTTAATGCAGCCTGTAAACCGTGGGCCCTCCCGCTTCAGAACATTCTTTTAACCTCTCACATAGCCCCTGTAGCCTCTTTCTCCCACGTCTTCCCCCATCCAGTAGTATTTTTTGAGGGGAGGGAGAAAATGAGGAAATCTATCATACTTTCTTCCTTTCTCTCTTTATCTCTAGCTAAGAAGTTGCCAAAGAGTGAACCCCAAAATCTGGGGGGTGCAGCAGGCCGAAGCCGGGGTGTGGATCTCCATGAGCAGTCCCAGCAGAACAAGAGCCAGTGTTGTAGCAACTGAGGGTGGCTGGCCTCAGCAAACGCGGAGCCAGCACGAGAGCCAAGAAATGTCCTCCACCCCACCCTCAGCACACAGCCCCCCGGTAACAGCACAGAGCCCCGGCTCCCGAAGGCTGCCTCCTGACAGCTCTGTCATGGCACTTTTTAACGCTTCAGCAACCAACACCAGGCAGCTGTTGCCGCTGGCCTACCCCTGCTTCTGGGGCTTGGGGTCAGGTCCCCCAGGACTTACCTTCCAAAACAAACTTTCTTCTCTTTGTATTATAGGTACAAGACAGTGTCCTACTTATCTTTCTCCTTTTCCTCATTTTTTCAGAAAACACTTTTTGTCTCCTGCCCCTTCTGCTTTTGGTCAGTCCCTGTTCTTGACCCCTCCTCCTCCCCTCCCCGGGACAGAGAGGGGGGCGAATCCAGAAACTGGGGGAGGAGGTTTCCAGTCAGTCACAGTCAGGGCCCGGGGTGGGTGGCGGGAGTAAGTCTCAGAGCCCAGGGAGTGAGGAAACATTTCCTTTTCTGATTTTGTTTGGCTAAAGCCTCATATTTGGAAACGCTGGCATCCATGAGTTGGGCCTGAGCAGTGATTCTGGGCGGAGGTGAGGTCGGGAAGGCGTGCCCTGGGTGCCAGGTGGGGTCACGTTAGCTCCCGGGGAGGGGTGAGGTGGGGTGCACTGTCATCGGTGGCTCTGGAGCCCTCCAAACCTGGCCTCCCCTTACCCGGCCACTGTGGGGGAGACGCCCCCGAGTCCTCCAAAGAATCTTCACGGGTTGCCTGCGTCTTTGGCTCTGCTGTGATCCGGCCGGGCGGGGCCGCCTTGAGCCCCCCTCCGGCTTATGCATTGCGTCTTTCCTCTCTGGCCTTCAGTTGGCCTCGGCCCAGCCGCCATGTCCCCTGCAGTTTGCACTTTAATTAACAGACGGCAGTTGGGTGGGGTGCATGTCGGGTGGGGGTCTCGATGGACTCGCCTGCCCGCTCACCAAGAAGTGGGTGCGGGGCAGGCCGTGGAGCATACAGCGCCGTGGCAGCGAGCCCGAGCCCGCCTCTCTGCGCGCTTCCTCCCACTCTGACTTGGAACCTGAGTCGTGGCCACCCTAGCTCTTGGGTACAGGTTCGCCCTTCCCGGAGCGTAGGCCGAGCAGTGGCGACGGTCTCGGGATGCACAGGCCGTGGTGGGGCCGTGAGGAGGGCAAAGTTTTCTGTCTTTTCCCTGGTTTCACATTCACTTCGCGTCGCCCGTTACCATGTTTTCCCACTTGCCAACACGAGCAGCCTTTATCCCTCTGTGCCGTCTGCTCTGGCCCCCACTGCCATCAGGCCTGCTTCTCCTCTCTTGGTACCTTCAGTTTAGATTCTCCATCCCTGTGCCGTGCCCTCCCCTCCTGCCGCCGGTGGTTTCATCCACGAGGGGCTAATGCCACAGAAGCCTACGCACGGCCCCTCATGTGACACCACCTGCTCCGGCAGCCAGGCCGTGACCCGCACCAGCTGCCTCGTGCCGCCAGAGAGCCTCAGGCCCTCTGAACCTCTGACCTCTCTTTCGTCCCACTTCAAGTGTTTAGGATGTCTCGGAGAAGCCAGCAAGGCAAGAAAGAACTCTTAAGCTCCTCCTTGTTCCAGCCCAGAGTTGTGGGAAAATCAGAACAGCCACAGTGACCTAGGATTGGAATCTTTCTCCCCTTTCGTGAGCAGACGTCCTCTGGCCCCGGCAGCTGGGAGTCCCCGAGACCGAGGTTGCAAGGACCTGGCCTGCGTCCTTCGGCACCTCCGTTCCCACCCCTCTCCGGGGCGGCCTTAGTTTCCGTGGCCCTGAAACACCGATTTTCTCCTTCCTTTCCCCGCCCCCACTGGCCCCAGAAGCACCTAGTGCGTCCTTAACAAATGGAAGAGCTGGGGTAGCTCTCTCATCTCTCAAAAGTGGAGTTCCGTCTATGCATCTTCCCCATGGGGTAGGAGTGAAGATGTCTCATTGTCCTGGAGTTGGGGGACCCTTTCTTCAGGACGCCCCCTCCCGTCTCCCTGGAGAGCAGGATCGGCCTCGGCTTTGGGCCTGCCTGCCGCCTTCCTCCTGTTTCCCACCAGCTCTCTGCTTTCCACTGAGCGTTGTTGGACTCGGAAGTCTTAGTTTTTAATCCCCGGCTCTTTTTTCCTCTGGTCAGTTTTTTAGGGTTTTTTTTTGTTTGTTTTTGTTTTGCTTCTAAGAAAGCATTTGCCTTTCCCCCCCTTCCTCTTCCAACATAACAATCGTGGTAACAGAATGCGACTGCTGATTTACCAATGTATTTAATGTAAGTAAAAAAAGGAAAAAAATACATTTGTATTGGAGTGTGTGCTTTTTCTTGTTCTTTTTTTTTTTTTGCTATTTGTCAGATACTAGAAATTTGGGGAAAGGGTACCCAATAATATTTTATTGAGTCAGGAGCACATCTTCCCCCAACTCTTGGTGCTTCCTTAGTCCTTCATCTTTCCTTCACTAATGAGATAACCCAATTTGAAAATAACCCTTTGCAGTAAGCCACCAAAGAACTCATCAAACCTGATCGTATGTCTTAGGCCCTATTAATAATGTATATATGTCAGGTGGGGGGATTGTGAACTTCTGGGCAGGAAACTGGTCATTGGTAAGATTGGTGGAGACAGTGGCATTTGTGAAACCTTTGAAGTAGTATGCAAAAATGTAGGTGCATTTTTCTAGAGAGGTGTCCATTGCCTTAATAGGATCTTTGAAGAATACATGAGTTAGCATTGTCACTTGGTATGTGACCCCGCCCCAACAGCATGTCTCCTGGGTGTGTTTCCGTCCTGTTCTTGAAGCCCTTCAGTCCATCACTGTCTTAAGTGGAGGGGCGGAGGAAGAACAGAGAAAAGTTAGGTATGTTTTGGAAGTTTTAAATTCCAAAGAATCTGAAGTACAGGAAGGATGCTTAGTGCCATGCAGACCTCAAATTCCAGCTCTGTCTCTAGCAACTACCAGCTATGACCTGATCGAGTTACTTAGCTGCTCTCCATCTGTTTCTTCTGTGAAATGAAGAAAAGTTGAGGTTGCAAGGTCAATTGAATAAAGCATGTGTGGCACACAAGTAGGCAGCGTTTAGGGAGAACTACCTAACTGATGGGCGATGGCTTTCTGGATCTCGGAGGTGAGCCTGTTTAAGGTTGGTAGCATGTGTTGGACATCACGTCTCTGCAATTACTTAACTGGAAATCTTTCAAAGAACTTTAAAGCCACAATTACTTTTTTTTTTTAATTACAAAAGTTTATTTTTACATTATTTTGTACATATTTTTTTCCATCTCAATTGTAATCCCCGCGGGTTTCCCATCACCAAGTCACCCGTGTGCCATCACAATTACTTTCTTACTGTCAATTTCCCTTTCCCTCTACTTCAGAACTCCCCCAAAGTCGCCTTGCTTTATGGTTAAAAACAAAGAAAAGCCCTCTAGGTCAGTTTAGAAGGGGAAATGATTCTACAAGAAGAAAGAGGACCTTCACTTTCAGTACGTTGTAGTTCAACTTCTGCTCTGTAGGGGGCGTTGCGAGTACATTTGCCCAGGTTTACAGCCAACCAATGACAAACCCAAGTGATGAAAGGGTATTTAGTAATTGCATTTTATTAGTGTACTTATGTTGAGGTTATAATCTTACTGCTCTCAGGTGTGAAAATGCCACTACTTTTATTTTTTTAAGATTTATTTATGCTTACAGAACGAGTTGTGGTGGGTCAGAGGATTCACCAGAGACAGTGGGGAGGACAGACAGGTTGACAAGGTACACTGCTGAGGGGAGCAGCGGGGGGCCTGGAGAGGTCTGCCATGCCCCGAGGGTCAGCTCCCTGGCCTGGGATCAAACATCGAGAGGCAGTAGCCTCAGAGAGTTTCATAATGCGGTGTTTTAACCCGTTGTGCTACCAAGGAGAGCCCGAAAATGCCATCACTCTTGTTAGAATTTTTATAATTTCTGATGTCACTGATTTTTTTTTTTTTTAAGGAAAAAAACCACCACCCATAGGGGCCTCCCTGGTGATGCAGGGCTGAAAGTCTCAGCGCTGTTAAGCTATCACCAGCCACTGTCACCCACAGCGGCCTTAGTTCATCCCCGCCAGGGAGTGACCCCCAGGCCCAGCAGACCTCTCCGGTAGTATTTTAGTAGATCTCCCCTCAAGTATTTTAGTAGATCTGCCTGTTCAGCTCTCCACTCTGGTGAATTTTCTTTCACCCGCATCGCCTACGCCCCAGTTCTTGGTGTGCACAAGTAAATAAAAACAAATCTTAACGAAAAAGAAGAAAACATCCCTTATACCCTCTGCC